ATATGCCCCAGCCCAGTTACTCTTCCATAACACCTAGGGCCGTATTCACGAAACCATTCTCCTGCTCAAACTTAGATCATATGCCCCAGCCCAGTTACTCTTCCATAACACCTAGGGCCGTATTCACGAAACCATTCTCCTGTTCAAACTTAGATTATATGCCCCAGCCCAGTTACTCTTCCATAACACCTAGGGCCGTATTCACGAAACCATTCTCCTGCTCAAACTTAGATCATATGCCCCAGCCCAGTTACTCTTCCATAACACCTAGGGCCGTATTCACGAAACCATTCTCCTGTTCAAACTTAGATTATATGCCCCAGCCCAGTTACTCTTCCATAACACCTAGGGCCGTATTCACGAAACAATTCTCCTGCTCAAACTTAGATTGTATGCCCCAGCCCAATTTCTGTAAATGGACAGACTTGACTTTTTAACTGTCGCATAATTTAAGTGAGTTTCAAACAAAAAAATGGTTTAGGAAAGAGAACCCATGGCCATGCTTGAGTATGAAACTAGCTTCATAAAGAGTTTCCTAGGTATTGGCTTCCCTGTACTTCAACGGAATCTCCATATTTGGTTTGGTTTAATTTTGTTTAAAAACCTATTAACAGCCAAGGTTATTTAAGGACGTGTCTCCATATGTGAAGTGAATAAGTGTGTGTGTATGCAGGAGACAGGGTATGTTGGCGTGCTTGCCTCCTTGTGAAAGCGCGGATCTGATGCCGACTTTATAGTGCTATCTCAATGAAATGCCATGCCAAAAGGTACCCGTCACAGCATTCCGCCCGGTCATATTATACTGACAACGGGTGAACCAGTTGTTGTCATTCCCCTAAATGCTGAACGTTAAGCAGGGAATAACAACTACCATTTTTAAGGACTTTAGTATGTTCCGGCCTGGGGACAGAACCCATTGCCTTCCTCACCTGGGCGAACGCTCAACATTAAAGCCAAAAGTGAGGAGTTGCCAAGCATGGCGCTAGGAAATAAAAGGTAGTTAGAAGCAGAAAGAAAGATAAAGATCCCAAATATTGCAATGGGTGCAGCAGATTTATTTTGGTCGCTTTTGTGTCCCCTAATAGAGGACACCAAAGCAAATCCCCAATTCTGAATTGGGGTTCCCCACATTAGTCACCTCCTACGATACATGTAGTGGTTAACAGCAGGTGTATTCTATTCCTGATCCCCCACCTGCAGGGGCAGGGTCTCCATATAAACCTTTCCTATGTTCTAATTTTGCCCGAAATTTATGGATGATTTGTTCGATTATAATTTTTGCTTATACGTCGTTATCTCTGGTTTTCTTCGAATTGGATGTAATCAGTTATGTAAATTTCAAAAATATGCAAATTTTAAAAGAATGTTTTACACTCTTTAGGAAGGAAAAAAACAATAGTTTTCTCCCTGGAGTCTGAAGTCCATACCTCAAACCCGAGTATTTACGTGGTTATCTCTGTGAACGCTACTTCATGTGTGTTTAATACTCTCCTACACGTCGTACACAGGTCGGAGATTCGTCTCTATATCCTGGTGATTTGTCGTTAGGCACTCGTAAAGATGACGCATATTTGAATAATGAAACTAATCTAAATATCTCAATAACAGTCCAATCTTTTATCGACTAAACTAATCTAAATATCTCAATAACAGTCCAATCTTTTATCGACTAAACTAATCTAAATATCTCAATAACAGTCCAATCTTTTATCGACTAAACTAATCTAAATATCTCAATAACAGCCAATCTTTTATCGACTAAACTAATCTAAATATCTCAATAACAGTCCAATAATTTATCGAAAAGTAAATATAAGTAAGGTGGTTTTGAACGGTTGTATTTAAGGTATCATCAGCGTCCATTTTCGTGACGTACTTCCGGAAAAAGTACAGCTCTCGATCGAAGCGTGCATGTACGGGAGAGTCTATAAGCCCGTGATCTCGTCGGGCTCGTGAACTCGACTACACAATATATGATGACGTCATCTACTTTCATTTTGATCGAGCACACGTGTGCATGTACACCGTACGCGTGTCGTCATTTCCGTATTGCGTATCGGGCATTCAATATAGTCTCGTTCAACAAGATTCTTGTTGCCTGCGCACGCTACGCCGAATAGAGAGTCTGGTCAAACGCAGTGCTTTCGTTTTTTGACATCATAACGAGGCTTACCGAGATTCTGGTAAGAAATTTCATTGATCAAAGGTTGACACACCTTTTTCAACTTTTGAAGTCAGAATTTGAGAGGCCCAAAATTACATTAAATATTTTAAGTCATTAAAAAATTACCTGTATATGCAGTCCTGAAGTATCCATGTTTTCACTATTAACGAGAAAAATGTAAGAAAATGCTTCAAAAAGAATGATTTCATGTATTTTCATTGGATATTTTACAATAATTCATGAAGCTAACAAGGCTATTGATACAAGTCAAGCCAGATTACCTGAGTGAGAACTTGAAGGTGTTTTGAATGGTGTAAAAGTATATCTCCCTTGCTTTGCATGTTGTTTTTTTTAAACTTCAGTCAGCCTTGTTGTCTTTGTGCTTAGTTATGATTTATTCAGTGGAAATATATGGCATTATTCTGGAGATTTGACACATTCTCTTACATTGTTCTCGATAAAAGTGAATACACGAGTACTTCAGGAATGCATGTATAGGTAACTTTAATCATTACTTTCATTATTCATTGAAATGTTTAATGGCGTTGATATAACGTGCGGAAACGAAAGTAGAAATACTGCCCTCTGGTAGTGATAATGTTAATGCAATGTGTTTGACCAGACTCTTGAAAAACAAGTGATCCAGCGTCTGGTTGAACGAGACTAGCATTCAATATCGTAGTGCAAATTATAGTAACACCTGGGCCGTTTTCGTTTTCGTTTTCGGTCAAACCGATCGGACCACTGTTGTTGGTTTATTAAATAAGGTCGTACCTAGTAATCTTATGTTGCTTTCAGGCGAGCCTTGAGAAAGCCTTGCAAGGCCTGCATACACATTTGTAGGTTCAGGGGGCCTGCTGTATATCTCACTAATTGTTTGTATGTTGCTGTGTCTCCATTTCATATAACCGTAATTGTTTGAAGATTTCTTTAGCAGTTCAATAATCTATTTAAGTTAAGTTAATATCAATATTTTGTAGAATAGCTTATGCCATCCTCCACCACTGACCTGTTATAGTCTCGGAGCTTTTCTATTCAACTTTACAATATTTACGCTATGCTTACGTTCTTTCTCGTCATCATAAAGGTTTTCGTTTACGTTTTCCAGGAAAGCGTTACTAGTTGTATTGTCATACCCTTTAGATTAGAAAAAATGTCTTCCTATTCTTTAAATACGGTGTCCATATCATGTCTTTGTTTCGTTATGGAATCATTGTTTCTCAAATCCAAAATCGTTTTTCCTACTTGTGCCGACACCGTTCGAAGATTTTACTTCTACGCTTATTCTTGCACCATCTGTTTCCAACGGACAGTTTCATCATGTCTTTTTATCATTCTGTGTTTGTAGATGTTTTATTTATAGACCTCAAGTATCAATTATAGACTTTAATTATCATTTCTTATTTTCATTATTATTTACTTTCTAACACTTGTCCATGATATCAGTTAATTAAGGTATCATCATCATCAGGCGCATATTGATACAGTTACAGAATGAAAATCCCCAAAGACGCTTGATCATTAAGACTCGATCGATCATACATGGAAAGAGTGAATTATCACGATGTTCAGCCATATATAGCTCTCTCAAACTTAACAGAAGAATGTCTACGGCAGACAATATTTAGAGGAACACTTCCAGACTTTGAATTCGACGTCATTACCTTTACTAAAGAATTTACGTTAGACGTAATATCTTGCATACCTTCTACGGAAAGCAGCGCAAATCTACTTTTGTGCTGATGCAGTATATACTATGAAGGTTTTATGAACTATTAGACCGAAGGGATAGCCGCCAAGTTATTCATGTGATTTTTGTAATATTTTTCATTAAAATTTATATATTTTATATTCTTAAGCATTTGTGAGGAATAAAACATGATGACGATGGATGGAAACACTCCTTGATATAATTCCGTTGATTTTATTGGGAAAAGGTGTAAATAATACAGAATTCAAAATAGTAAAAGATTAAAAGGAAACGGACGACACAGCTTGAGCAATGAAATATGGATATACAGGCCTGCTGCAACCACTCGTGAACACGTCTTTCATGGTTGGCTGTTTACATGTTATGTATTTATGCTGTTACAGGGCTACTGATTTAAATGGTGACAGTGGTGTTGTCTTACATCTGGATCCTGATGACGATTGTTTTGTCCTATCACTCACAAGAAATAGTAAGTATAGCCACACTAATCTTTTTATGTATGATAGGAGTGTTAACTTGTGACGAAGGTATGTTTACACCCATGTTATTTCCTGTTGATTTTATCACTTATTATACATATTCTACGTTAACATATAATCTATTTTTAAGCAAACTGAAAAATATATACACCACATCTTTGCCAAAACAGTGCACACATGACTAAATATTGTAAATTGTCGGCCATTTTATCCTTGGTTGGGATAAAATGGCTGACATAATCAAAGGATATTGCATTGCTGTTAGTATGACATTGGAGACCTGACTGTCGATGTGGTACTTAAAGCACTTGACAGATACCTGAAATAATATCTAACATCATCTACATTTGTTACCATTCCAGTATGTGTTTTCTAAAGTCTGTAAAAGAGGTAGCTGTCATGACATGGTCAGGCAGAGCATTCCAAGTAGTAGCAGCTGAAACGCGAAAACTGTTTGTCCCATACTTAACAGTCTTAGTTATGGGGACATACACAAGTCTATTGTACCTAAAAGAGTAAGATGAGGGTTGCTACCATGGATCTGCCTAGATGCTTTTAAGCATATGTTTTTAACATGTAAATCAAAATTAAAGAAAGAATCTATGGTTACTCCCAAAAGCTGACGGCTTCCTCGCAATTTCATTTCATTTCATCAAATTTTATTGACAAGATGTCATAATCAATTGGATTGAATAACAGGCAAAGCCTATATAATTCTCTCCGTCAAATGGCCAAAGTTGAATAAACAAGGAGACATGATATTTTAGACATGTTGTAAATGAAAAAATTAACACAAAATAATTCATATTAACACAAGGCTAAGGGGAAGTAACTCATGAAGGAAACATCTCACACACCTCATACACACTTACACACACATACAAGTACATGTACAAATACATTTATTTCAGTATATATCTACACTATCATAGACAGATATTGGCAGGCTTAGACCAAAAGTCCATGTGCATATATTGCACAGGTCACTGCTACCAACAACTGTTACAATTAAAAATAATAAATTCATTTAATACATATAGAGTGTAATTATTTACAATGTCATGATAAGTACACGTAATAGACAGTAGTCATGCTCAACTAGAATCTCCTGGATGAAATATAGAATATATAGTATATTTTTGTTTAACATCATGGCTTTAAGTCATATAAAAATTAAAACGACGGGATTTTCCAATAAAAATATGCACATCATCAAGTATTCTTCTATTTGTAAGCCCATCACAATCAGGACAGCCCTGGAGAAGAATGTTTTTATCAATGTGGTTGTGGTTTCCATAACTATTAAGAGAAGTGAACAAAGTTGTTCTTTGATTATTAAAAATAGGACATTCCAAAAAGTAATGAGATACTGTTTCATGTTCAGCAGAGCAGGTACAAGCAGGACTATTGTTAAGATGGTCATGGTGTAAATCATAATTTAAATTACTGCAAGAGTTTCGAAGTTGACATAGAATAATACTTGCTCTTCGGTTACCTTCTGTTTTGAAAATTGAAACAGATTCACTATCAGAATAATATCTTTATTAAAATATTTTTTTTTAATGCTGCAGGAGAGGGAGAATTAAGAAGATCAGAATTTGCAATGTTTATTGTGCGGCACATTTGAGGGAAAAAACTGTCAAAATAGTTATTAGTTCTACATAACGGTGGGTTGAAAAGCCTAGTTTGTCTTAGAGGGTAGGGGTTATCATTTTGATTGTTAATAAAGGGATTTAAAACATTTTGTAAGTATTGAGGTGTCTGCCAATGCATAATTTTGTACATCATTTTATGTTTGTGTTTATTTCGTCTTACAGATAGTGTTTCCCAGCCTAGTTCATTGTATAGTTTGTCATGTGATACCTCAGAACGAAGACCTGTTATTATCCTAGCTGCTTCTAATTGTACAGATTCAAGAATATCTTTTGTCTGTTGTGTACAATTATCCCAAATAATATCTGCATATTCCAAAATTGGCCTAATAATGAATTACAATATTGCCAATGTTGTTTTTTTTCTTTTTTCTTTTATATACATTTAATAACCCAGGCATGCATACATCCTTCGTGGGTTGTCTGGGGATGGGCTGCCCCAGCTTCAACCCACAATACATGAAACACTCTCTATTTTCTTTCTTCACAAATCAACACTTGCTCATTTTTTTCTCTCTCACTTTTTCACACTCTCGTACTGTAATTTCTTCTTTTTTACCTCACCTTTTACACTCTCGTACAAACCCTCCTCACACGGAGGTAAGTTTGGGTACTGATATCTGCCAATGGTTTCCAAGTAGTCTGTTTGACTTGTCTGCAGACTTTTGTTGGCAGGTAATCCTTCTAAAGTATGTCAAGACATCAATCATCAGGAAAGGTTAACAACACATTCTACACTGGCGGCCATCTTGTTTTCCCTTACATAGGCTTTACCCCAAAACATATTGATATGCAGTTTGTTCATTTGAATACCAGTTTTAGGAACACTTATATTTTTCCCAAATTATACATTGAATTATCATTATATGCATAACGACCCATCAACACAAGAGGTCATTAGGGTCATCAATGGTCGATAAAAATAAATTTAAAATGAAAGCGACATCAAACAAACATGAAGTTAAAAGACGAACGTCAACCTGAATATTAAAAGTGACTCATATTGTTTGGAACAACATATTAAGATTGATGTTTTGTTGCTAAAATATAAGTAATGCAGATTATTTTATCAGTTACATGTGTCATCTTTTTATCATTGAAAATGTAAGTGATCCTTAGATCTGCATTATTATAAGTGATTAACCTTTAAAACGTCAGTGTCCACAAACATATCGAAGTGATGCTTCTGTAACCTATTGTCATGAGTGGAATGAATTGTCGCTGCGCAAAAAAGAAATGGTATGTTCTTGTTGAAGAGGAATATTAGATTTCTATTTTTCGACTTTCCTGTGGTGGTTATTGGCTGGTCTGTACTGAATTGGCACGTTTAACCTGTTGCTGTATTTGGGTTTGTGTTTGTGCTGCAGCATCCTATTAACCTGGTATCGAGACTGACATCACAGCAGGGGGTTTGAACTTGTCACACCAGTCTACAGAACAGTAAGACTTAAATCAATGGATGTTGAAGGCGCGGTCAAGCAAGTGTTTTGCCTGTATGAGCGTCATGGTAGCGGCGACTATCTTGGAGAGCCAGTCAATTTGACTGGTCACATGATTCAGTGTGCCGTACTAGCAGAACAGGATGGCCAACCTTTGGAGGTATTGTAAAGACGATAGCCAAATTTTCACCTTCAGGGCAACAGTCCATTGTTGAATTGACCCCCTTTCAATAACCTGTACAGCTTATCACGGATGATGATTGTTGGCCCAATGTCCTTTAATCCGTAAATTATAAATGGTTTTTGTTGTCTCGTGTGATTTAACCTGTTATTAATTAATTAAGTCCCCCAAACATGCCCCCAAACATGGTTTGGGGACTTATTGTTTTTATTCCTCTGTGTTCTTCTTCTTCTTCTTCTTCCTCTTCTTCTTCTTCTTCTTCTTCTTCTTCTTCTTCTTCTTCTTCTTCTTCTTCAGCCATGAACTTGTCCAGAGGTTTTCTCAGAAACCATTGAGCGGATCATCATGAAACTTCACACACATACTCATTAGGGAGTCAAGGTGTGCAACAGACTATTTTTATCTCGACCGGAAGTCCAAGATGGCCACCAGAACCTTACTTCCGGTTTTGGAGTTTTTGGCTCCGATTACGTTGATAATTGGTACATAAGGGTTTTCAGGGCTGCCGAAACAATGGAAACAGTTTCGAACAGCTCAGTTGTCATGGTAACGAAAAGGAGGCCTCTGATTGGTCGAAAATGGAGGCCTCTGACTGGTCGAAATTGAGCTGTTGTCTGATTCTGCCCAAAATTGGTACATAGAGGTTTTCAGGGATTCCGAACACAATGGTAACAGTTTTGAATAGTTCAGTTGCCATGGTAACGAAATGGAGGCCTCTGATTGGTCGAAATTTAGTTGTTTTTTTTATTCTGCCCGAAATTGGTACATAGGGGTTTTCAGGGATTCCGAACACAATGGTAACAGTTTTGAATAGTTCAGTTGCCATGATAACGAAATGGAGGCCTCTGATTGGTTGAAATTTAGTTGTTTTTTTTATTCTGCCCGAAATTGGTACATAGGTGTTTTCAGGGATTCCGAACACAATGGTAACAGTTTTGAATAGTTCAGTTGCCATGGAAACGAAATGGAGGCCTCTGATTGGTCGAAATTTAGCTGTTGTCTGGTTTTGCCAAAGTTCCTAAGTCCAACAGGGGTCGTTTGGGGTACTAATCTGTAACGGCCATCCGTTACAATTATTACTAGTTATTTTTGTATGATATTGCTTCTATATCTAACATTCCCTTTACTCTATTTTATATATGGACCCCTCTCTGTTGACACAGGCCCATCCGATATATGTATCAAAGGCGGGTTGCAATACCGATTATTTTTGTCAATATTCTTCATTGCTGAATAACCTAGTTTGACTTTTTGGTTTTTGGGAGGAAGTCTTATTTTTCATTTTGTTTTGATCTCCCCAGATTACCTGTTGTATTTGTTTTAACTGAGCTCTGATAATGTACATGTGTGCTGACGCGAATGTCTTATTTCTAATTTATTTTACAGTTAGTTAAGAAAACATGCATTAATTACTGATCTAATTCTTGATTAAAAGATGACTATAATAAACAAAACTAGATGAAGAATAATCACAAACAGCTCCCTTGTTTATATCGAGTTTTGGTTAAGTGATTATGATGAAATTTCAGTTCATGTGTCTTAAAATAAAATCGTATTTTATCATACAAACTATAGTCGAGTTATTAATCGTCTATCGCCCAAACTATTTGAAAATAGTCAAACACGTTTGGTTCGCGCCTAAATGCACTGCTTATCAACAGTTGGCGGGCTTAGAACTGTCGCTAAATAATTACCCAAACGTTATAATATTTGACTAAAAGGGGTTTACTTTTTTGTACATTTTTAATGTGTGAGGTTGACTGTGATATAGGTAGTTCTAGCGGCCTTTCTCCACGACATCGGTCATTTGGTTGGCACGGATAAGGGGCTTCGGACGATGATAACCGACGGCACCAACCTCGGAGCCATGGACCACGATGTCCTAGGAGGACAGTTCCTTCGCAAGCTAGGATTTCCGGACAAAGTGTGTGACCTGGTACAGGGACACGTACAGGCTAAACGTTACTTGGTGTGGAAAAACAAGGAGTACTACGACAGTAAGTATCGCGCTACTGGGTGTGGAAAAACAAGGCGAGCTACGACAGTAAGTATCGCGCTACTGGGTGTGGAAAAGCAAGGCGAGCTACGACAGTAAGTATCGCACTACTGGGTGTGGAAAAACAAGGAGTACTACGACAGTAAGTATCGCACTACTGGGTGTGGAAAAACAAGGAGTACTACGACAGTAAGTATCGCACTACTGGGTGTGGAAAAACAAGGAGTACTACGACAGTAAGTATCGCGCTACTGGGTGTGGAAAAACAAGGAGTACTACGACAGTAAGTATCGCACTACTGGGTGTGGAAAAACAAGGAGTACTACGACAGTAAGTATCGCGCTACTGGGTGTGGGAAAACAAGGCGAGCTACGACAGTAAGTATCGCACTACTGGGTGTGGAAAAACAAGGCGAGCTACGACAGTAAGTATCGCGCTACTGGGTGTGGAAAAGCAAGGAGTACTACGACAGTAAGTATCGCGCTACTGGGTGTGGAAAAACAAGGAGTACTACGACAGTAAGTATCGCACTACTGGGTGTGGAAAAACAAGGAGTACTACGACAGTAAGTATCGCGCTACTGGGTGTGGAAAAACGAGGCCGTAACAAGATGTACTACGACAGTAAGTATCGCGCTATTTGATGTGGAAAATAATCAGATCTACACAAGGAATCATTGCTCTACTTGGTGTGGAAAGACAATGAGTACTACATCAGTAAATATAGTTCTGCTTGGTGTGGAAAGGTAAGAAGTAGTACACCAATAAGTATTGCTCTACTTGGTGTGGAAAGATAAGAAGTACTATATCAGTATGTATTAGAGATATCAATTACTATGTGCGCTATTCAAATTGTTTCTTATAAGTATCGCACTACTGGGTGTGGAAAAACAAGGCGAGCTACGACAGTAAGTATCGCGCTACTGGGTGTGGAAAAACGAGGCCGTAACAAGATGTACTACGACAGTAAGTATCGCGCTATTTGATGTGGAAAATAATCAGATCTACACAAGGAATCATTGCTCTACTTGGTGTGGAAAGACAATGAGTACTACATCAGTAAATATAGTTCTGCTTGGTGTGGAAAGGTAAGAAGTAGTACACCAATAAGCATTGCTCTACTTGGTGTGGAAAGATAAGAAGTACTATATCAGTATGTATTAGAGATATCAATTACTATGTGCGCTATTCAAATTGTTTCTTATAAGTATCGCACTACTGGGTGTGGAAAAACAAGGCGAGCTACGACAGTAAGTATCGCGCTACTGGGTGTGGAAAAACAAGGCGAGCTACGACAGTAAGTATAGCGCTACTGGGTGTGGAAAAGCAAGGAGTACTACGACAGTAAGTATCGCGCTACTGGGTGTGGAAAAACAAGGCCGTAACAAGATGTACTACGACAGTAAGTATCGCGCTATTTGATGTGGAAAATAATCAGATCTACACAAGGAATCATTGCTCTACTTGGTGTGGAAAGACAATGAGTACTACATCAGTAAATATAGTTCTGCTTGGTGTGGAAAGGTAAGAAGTAGTACACCAATAAGCATTGCTCTACTTGGTGTGGAAAGATAAGAAGTATTACACCAATAAGCATTGCTCTACTTGGTGTGGAAAGATAAGAAGTATTACACCAATAAGTATTGCTCTACTTGGTGTGGAAAGATAAAACGTACTACACCAATAAATATTGCTCTACTTGGTGTGGAAAGATAAGAAGTATTACACCAATAAGCATTGCTCTACTTGGTGTGGAAAGATAAGAAGTACTATATCAGTATGTATTAGAGATATCAATTACTATGTGCGCTATTCAAATTGTTTCTTATAAGTATCGCACTACTGGGTGTGGAAAAACAAGGCGAGCTACGACAGTAAGTATCGCGCTACTGGGTGTGGAAAAACAAGGCGAGCTACGACAGTAAGTATCGCGCTACTGGGTGTGGAAAAACAAGGAGTACTACGACAGTAAGTATCGCACTACTGGGTGTGGAAAAACAAGGAGTACTACGACAATAAGTATCGCACTACTGGGTGTGGAAAAACAAGGCGAGCTACGACAGTAAGTATCGCGCTACTGGGTGTGGAAAAACGAGGCCGTAACAAGATGTACTACGACAGTAAGTATCGCGCTATTTGATGTGGAAAATAATCAGATCTACACAAGGAATCATTGCTCTACTTGGTGTGGAAAGACAATGAGTACTACATCAGTAAATATAGTTCTGCTTGGTGTGGAAAGGTAAGAAGTAGTACGCCAATAAGTATTGCTCTACTTGGTGTGGAAAGATAAAACGTACTACACCAATAAATATTGCTCTACTTGGTGTGGAAAGATAAGAAGTACTATATCAGTATGTATTAGAGATATCAATTACTATGTGCGCTATTCAAATTGTTTCTTAACTATTTGATTATACAGAAGCAGCAGCTTGGCTATTGGTGAACAAGGTCTAATTGCATAAAAATATGTCCTACACATGAATGTGTAAACCATTTATTCTATTTAGTAATGAGGAGGTGCAAACGTAACAGGACATAATCAGATGTAAACGTGAAAAGTTGTAAACATATTAAAAGTGACCAATGGTAATCTTATTCAAAGCAATTTTCAAAAACCAAAACTTCACATCATATGATGTCTTATATTCACAATGCCACATGGTGCTTCTCTGTTGTATTTACATATAGGTACGTATCAATGTTTTCGTAGAACGTTTTGTACATTCCTTGCATCATGTGTCTTTTCTGTACTGAAGTTTTAGTTTCAAACAAATCGATTTCATATTTGATAAAGATTCATGGCGACCTCACAATAAAGAAACTAATGAAATTTTCCTCTTTCCATTCAGACCTCAGTCCTGCCAGTAAAATGACTCTTGAACATCAAGGAGGACGAATGAATACAGAGGAAGCCACAGCTTTTGAAAACAATCCTCTGTTTGACTTGATCATACGCATGCGCTACTGGGACGAGGCCGGGAAGGAAGTTGACGTTACAAATGTGCATCTAGAAAAATACAGAAATCTTTGTTTTGATTATTTAACAAGCATGCGATAACTTTATCACCGAGATTGGGAAAAGAGTGATTTTGTAGTTAAGTATACCCTCTGGTCCAAGAGGCGTCACATTATATAACATAGCCGCTATAAAACGATGTCACAGACACACACACCTCTCCTATCAGTGATTTTCCATAACGTACCGTTGTTAGTAGGGAACAGACTGATCTTATTTGTCAACAAGATTTGATGGAATTCGTTTGCTTTTACGATTTTCTTCTACTAATGAAATGGATAAGGGCGTAGTTTGTTGCTGTTTAAGTTAGGCTTGCAGCTTGTTGAAATATGTGTAATACTACATGCCTGTGTTATTTTATTTGTAGTTCATTACACATACTATTGTTTGGATGTAGTATACAATAAAGCTGAATTGTTATTACAATTCCTCAGCACGAAAATAGATAATGGTTGTTTGGGAATTTAATGTTTCGATTCCTCAACTAAAATACCCGAGTTTGTTAAGTGTCGGCTGCTAGCACAAACGATATTTTGACGACTGGAGTAAAGCTAGACAGCGTAAGAAAGAAAGTCGTACAGAAGAAGCGACCAAAGAAATAAAACTAAGTACCATGCTATCAATACACAAGGACACAATCAGAACTCAACGACGATACAAAATGACCACAACACAAAACATCAAAACTAAAGCACATACATCATCAACACGGAGACGATCATTGTGGAATTAAAATAGTAACGTTTGTAGTAACGTTTGGGGTGAGAAACCCGGTAGGAAACTGTAGGTAAAGTTCGTTGAGTTTAGTAGTGTGGTGACCCTATTTGTCATACTGTAGGTAAAAGTCGTTCTGTAGATAGTTCCACTTAATGTCATATTAGTGTAGGTAAATGTTATAGATTTTGGTAGAAAAATCACCCTTATCGTCCTACAGGTTAGTAGCGATGTCACCCTTATCGTCCTACAGTTTAGTAGCGATGTCACCCTTATCGTCCAACAGTTTAGTAGCGATGTCACCCTTATCGTCCTACAGTTTAGTAGCGATGTCACCCTTATCGTCCTACAGTTTAGTAGCGATGTCACCCTTATCGTCCTACAGTTTAGTAGCGATGTCACCCTTATCGTCCTACAGTTTAGTAGCGATGTCACCCTTATCGTCCTACAGTTTAGTAGCGATGTCACCCTTATCGTCCTACAGTTTAGTAGCGATGTCACCCTTATCGTCCTACAGTTTAGTAGCGATGTCACCCTTATCGTCCTACAGTTTAGTAGCGATGTCACCCTTATCGTCCTACAGTTTAGTAGCGATGTCACCCTTATCGTCCTACAGTTTAGTAGCGATGTCACCCTTATCGTCCTACAGTTTAGTAGCGATGTCACCCTTATCGTCCTACAGTTTAGTAGCGATGTCACCCTTATCGTCCTACAGTTTAGTAGCGATGTCACCCTTATCGTCCTACAGTTTAGTAGCGATGTCACCCTTATCGTCCTACAGTTTAGTAGCGATGTCACCCTTATCGTCCTACAGTTTAGTAGCGATGTCACCCTTATCGTCCTACAGTTTAGTAGCGATGTCACCCTTATCGTCCTACAGTTTAGTAGCGATGTCACCCTTATCGTCCTACAGTTTAGTAGCGATGTCACCCTTATCGTCCTACAGTTTAGTAGCGATGTCACCCTTATCGTCCTACAGTTTAGTAGCGATGTCACCCTTATCGTCCTACAGTTTAGTAGCGATGTCACCCTTATCGTCCTACAGTAGAATCTGATATCTGTTATTTCTAGGTCATGATGATTCTTTGAATCAAAGCAGTTATTCTAAATATTCTTCATATTTAACTCAAAATTCAGTAAGGAGAGAGTGTGAAAAGGAGTTATCCGTTCGTAGTTTATCTTATCGCTTGCAACCTTCAGGATAGAAATAAAGTATGTCATCGTTACGCCTGTGTAGGTTATACAGTTATCACAAAAACACAGTTCAGAGAGGCACAGATACACCACGAATACCTGGCTACACTGATACTTAGATGACATACGTTATATAGTATAATGTTGGGTATCTTATTCCACTACACAACGGTTAGTTGTCTTAACTACCTTTGGTTGTAAACTTTCCTACTCTATCTGGTGTATTGATTAAAATTTTGAAATCCATAACTAATCTATCTAACTTTTCCTAACCATTTCTGTACAGATCGAAGAAGGGTTCCTGTAGTACAACCAGTTCAGTGTTCATATGTGACGTTTTGATGAATAGTACAGCATGCACACTGTTCATTCCATCAGACAAATCCACACCCTTTCCTCAATACATATATATGTATCATTTAATTATGATAAACTTAATTGTGAAATCAAATGACTATACATGCTGAGATAATTATCAGGTTAAACGTCTTTGCTGACGTGTTGTTAAGTTAACATTGCTTTAAAAACATCAGCACGATAGTCACCACCTTATCTATAATTAAAGGACAACACTGTTACAGTAGTTCACACCTGTGAGTTACCTATTTGGATTTGTTACACTTGTGACAACCTGAGAGGTCTAGTAAATCAGACCACACGATCGGCCATGGTTGAGCTAATGGTTAGCGAGGTGTTCCGTTTATATGAGCAACATGGATCAACAAGTTACTTAGGGGACAGAATTTCTAAAACTGATCATAGCATACAGTGTGCGATGTTAGCAGAGGAGGAGGAGCAGCCGTCTGAGGTATGTGAGAGGTTGTCATAGGTTTATATATTGTGTCCAGCTCTACTTGTGGATTATGACCAATCAAGGTCTGGCGAAAGTCCTCAGGCATGCGCTGCAAAACTCATATTTAAGCTACTAAAACGTATAAGAAATGTTGTTGATAAATAATGACAACTGATCATAAAGAATTCTTCAAAACTCTTTAAAATACTGGGTAAGTTGCAATTACTTAATTCAAGTAGATGCTTCTTTCCGATTTCTAGCGATTAATTGACGGATTTGGTTTGGATTGGTTTTATTTTGTTAAACGTCCGATCAACAGCTTAGATCATTTATAAGTGTATGCGTGCCTGTGTGTGTGTACATGTATGTGTGTGCCTGTGTGTGCCTGTGTGTGCATGTGTGTGCATGTGTGTACCTGTGTGTGTGTGTGTGTGTGTGTGTGTGTGTGCAGGAGGCAGGGCATGTTGGCGTAATTGCCCCTTGTGATAGTGCACATCTGATGCCGACTTAATAGTGCTACCTCACTGAAATAACATGCCCAAGGCACCCAGTAAAGCATTCCGCCCGTTCACATGTTGCCTTTCCCATAAATGCTGAACGTTATGCAGGGAATAACAACTACCATCTTAGAGACTTTGGTATGTACCGGCCTGGGGACAAAACCCATTGCCTCCCTCACCTGGGCGAACGTTCAGCATAAAAGCCAAAAGTGAGGTGATGCCAAGCAAGGCGCTAGAAAAAAAGGTAGTTACAAGTAGAAAGAAAGATAAAGATCCCAAATATTGCAATGGGTGCTATTAAGTTTGGTCGTTTTAGTGTCCTCAAGTAAGGGTTAAAGTTCACAAGCAATTCCAGATTCTACAGGAGGGGTTCCCGCATTGGTCGCCTCTTACGGTACATTCAGTGGGGAACAGCAGGAGGATTCCTTTTTCGATCCCCCACGTGCAGGAGTGGATTAATACGGACCAATTTGGTTGACACTGCATGCTTGTAGACTATCAGTCCTCGATGTTAACTGGAGCTTTGTAGCTCTATACTCTGGCACGGTTTAAATGAAGTACTAGTTAGAATATAAATCATCTGTTGTATACAGATGTTGTAAATATGTAACGCTGAAAAATGGTTTACAAACTACTTTCCCTTTTCGCTGTTTTCTATATAGACCTTGGAACACTGTACACACTTTCCGTCATCCTATTGACCTTAAGCTACTCCTGAATTGTTGTTATTCCTAAAATTTCAGCGAATACAAGGTCGAATTGCGGTGTGTGACCTCGGGTTATATAACATATGGCGAGGACATCAAAGGATGGCGCAATGCCGTTACAAAATTCCAGATTATGTTATGACGACAAGATATATAATACAGAGTCAGAATGTCGGAATCTTCAAGAATGACATGGAAACTCGTGTTTCCGTAATATTTGTAAAGATTCTTTTCCTATTTCATATAAGATTTATGAAACTTACTTCAAAATGTGTGTGTTAGCTCGGCAAAGTCTTGCTTAAGTAATGAATATGTCTGATACTTGTTTCATAAATCTCGTATATATTCTTAAACAGACTTTGATACGACCTCAGTACTCGCTACTTCACAGATAGTGTTAGCAGCGTTCCTACATGATATCGGCCACCTCGTGGGGGCGGACAAGGGGCTAGAAGAAATCACAACAGCGGATCTCCATCTTGGATCCAGGGACCATGACGTTGTAGGGGGTCAGTACTTGAGGAACATCGGATTTCCTGACAAAGTGTGTAACCTTGTACAGGGACACGTACAGGCGAAGCGCTACCTGGTGTGGAAAAATCCGGAGTACTACGATCGTAAGTTCTAGCGACAGTGTCACTTGTTTTATATCTGTAGACAGACGGATATACCAGCTTTATTATAGACTACTTTTTGGTATGTGACTACCCAACCCTGTTGGTTTGTTGATAGCGTATAACATACCACTGATAATTCACACATAATCAAGTTATGATGGTCCGCAATAATTGATGTCAAAAGATTTCATAAAAAAAACACTTTTCAATGGCAGTAGGTAACATATTTTTAAATTCATTTTTTTAATTTCTCGACAGAATGCATTATAACAACCATTGTAGACCTATATATGTTTCAACAATTCTTTATAGATATAAGATCTATATAGTATATTTTGTTCTGTAGTTTCGATGTTGTTGGCGCTCTGATATATATATATATATCTTAGTCGTCAATTTTATCTGCTTTATAAAATCTACATTTCCGTTCTAACACATCACCATATAGATGATAACATCGAATTTCAATAACTCATGACAGAATTGGTATTAATGTTAAACGTTTACACAAAAGATGTAATAACCTTACCAACCATAGTTATGGTCATACGACTGTCCCTTGTTATAGTTAACTAACCCCGACATATCACACAAGGTCCACAGGAATCTATCAATTCTTTTGAAATATCCTACAAACAAAATAAACAGAAAGGCACAACGACAATAAAACAAATAACTCACGAAATCAGACGTTCTGATAGCACTGCCATTTGAGAGGCCTAGTCCCATTCTGGGCCTATAACTCTAACAAACGGTTCATTTCCTCTATTAAATTATAATTACATATGGGTTTTTCGATGACATTTGATGCTTATTTCAAGATATTTCGGGGTTCGAAACAAATGTCGTAGTACGTTTTATTAATCATTTGATAATTGCGAAACATATCTTGTTTTATCATCGAGTATGAAATAGCTCTCA